TAAATTAAAAATCTCGGTATTACAAGGTAAAATATAGTTTTGAAGTAAACATACCTAAATGTCTCAATTCGTAACCAAAATTTTTTAAGTTATCAATGAAAATGTATGTCATGGAAAACTAACTTGCACTATTTTATCCCTTTGTGGCAATACTTTCCAGCTTTAACAAAAAAAAATTGTTAAAGCCAACTCTGAATCACAAGGTTTTTCGATCGGATGCCAAGTTATTATCCTAGTAATATATTGTATCTTAATGATATTTTACAGATATAAATTTTAAATAAAAAATGTACATCCTCCTCTATCTACCGTCAAAAAATTCAATATTTTGTTACAAAAATGGTTGAATTATTCTGAGAGAAAATGTGTATCATGTAAAAAATTATTTGATCTAGTGTAGCATTTTGTGAAAATAATTCCTTATGTTTTTATTTTTTTGATTATTATTAGTAGGTCAAATTCAAATCAAAAGATTTTCTATTGTAAGTTGTTATTATAATTTGATTAGTGTACGTTAGAAATAATAATCTTAAACTATTTCAGCATTTTGTGAAAGTACGTTCCAAATTATTTTTAATTTAAGGTCAACTCTGAATCCAAACATTTTTGATTGCATGTTAGTGTAATGTCAAAATTGTCAGATCAATAATATACATCACTTCTATTCTATAAACATAAATTTTAAATAAAAAATCTTATATTACAAGGTAAAATATCCTTTAGATCAAAACAGACCTAAATGTCTCAGTTCGTAACCAAATTTTTTAAGTTTTCGACGATGAAAATGTATGTTATGCTAAATTAACTTGCACTATTTTAGCCCTATGTGACAGTACGTTCCAGATTAAAACAATTATAATAATTTAAGGCCAACTCTGATTCAGAAGGTTTTTCGATTGGATACGACTTTAGTGATTTTTTACAAATAAATATAAATTTTAAATAAAAAATGTACTTCCTCCTATATCTACAAACACGGAATTCAATGTTTTGCTACCAAAATGTTTGAAATTTTCTGAGAGAAAATCGATATGATGTAAAAAATTATTTGATCTATTTCTCGTTTTTTTTTTTTTTTATATGTATGTCATACAAATATAACTCGCATTGTTTTAGCACTTTGTAACAATATTTTCCAGATTAAAAAAAAAAAATTAAAGGCTACTCTGAATCAGAAGATTTTTAGATTGAATAGTGCTGTAATGCGGTAATTTATAATAATATATAGTGATATTTTACAATTAGAAATGCTAACTAAAAAAAGTTGCACTTCTTCCTTCATCCATAAACAAGTTTGCAGCCAAAATTTTTGAATTTTTCCAAAGAAAATATAAATCATGTACAAAATTACTTGATTTATTTTTGCATTGTGTGAAAATTCGTTCCAAGTTTTTTTTTGCTTTTTAATTATAGGTCAACTCTGAACCAAAAGATTTTTCATTGTATGTTGGTGTATCGCAATAAATACATCACTGATATTTGGCAAACATAAATTGTAAATAAAAAATGTCCTACTAGAACGTAGAAGACAGTTTAAGGGCAAATAAACCTTGAAATACTTTCAACGTTAAAAAAATTGTGACTTGATAGTTCGTAATTACGTGAAAATTGTGCTTGTGTAATTTTTTATTATTATATTTTTAACAACAATAATAATATTACTAGTAGTTTGTCATTGTGTATTACTTAAAAAAAATGTTTGTAAAAAATAACGTGAGCTATTTCAATATTTTGTAAAAGTACGTTCTGGATATTTTTAAATTTTAATTTAAGGTCAACTCTGAATCAAAACATTTTCCGTAACGTGAAAATTGTCGGCACCGCGAGATTTTTAACGTGAAAATGTTGCCAATTTTTTATTATTTTCAACAAGTATTTTCCTAAAAAAAATTGAGTAGGTAATCAGAAAACTGAATATAGGGAAATTGAAAAATAGAAAATCGAGTAATTAAAAAGTCGAAAAACTGAAGAAGTTTTTTAAGCGATTCCACCACTTGAAAAAATAAAATTTAATCTTCATCTTACAGTAAATAAAATAAGACAATGAAATTCAATTTTTTAAATTTCTCAATTTTTAAACTCTGGGTTTTTTTTAATTTTTCATTTCATCAATTGTTCAAGTTCTTGATTTCCAATTTTTAGATTTTTCAAGGTTTTCATTTTTACTTTTAAGTTGAAAAATTGAAAAATGGAAAAATTGTAAAATGATAAAAATGAAAAATCGAAACACTGAAAAGTTTAAAATTTCATAGTGAAAATCAGGACACTGAAAAAAGAAAATGTTGTAAAAATAAAGAAAATAAAAAACCGAAACCAAAAATTACAAATCGAAAAATTCAAAATTGAAAACTCGAGAAATCTTCAATCGAAAAATTGCAAAACCTAAAAATTAAAAATTTTAAAAGTTGGAAAATTGAAAAATTTAAAGTTAAAAACTTGAAAAATTGCAAATTGAAGTCAAAAAAGCTGCAGAAGTATTAATTGCACCCCTGGTTTTGACTCAGAAGAGGTTATCAGAAAACAAAAATCGAAAAAAATTATATAATTTTTCAGAAATAAGCCAATGAAATTCAAAAGTGGAGGTGGGTGGGATTAGTTTTAAAATTTTTTTTAATTCCACAATTTATCGACACAAATTCCATTTTTCATCCAAAAAAATGAGTGATCAAGAAGAAAAGTTGCTAAGATAAAATTGATTTTGGCAAATGATCAACCTTCTAAGAAAATAGAGGGTGGGTGGGCGGGCGGGGCTAGTATTTGCTAAATAAGACTGATTTCAGCAAACGACATATCCTCTAAGAAAATATAATAATATAATAAATTTTCAAATTCTCGAATTCCAAATTTTTTAATTTTTCGATTTTTCAATTTATTGTACCCTCAATTTTTTAAGTCCTTGATTTTTATCTTTCATTTTCTAGATTTTTGGATTATCATTTTCTCGATTTTATATCACAATTTTTCGTTTCTTCGTTTTCTTTGTTTTTTCAATGTTTACTTCGATTTTGTCATTTTTCCTTTATTTAATTTTCGATTTTACAATTCTTAAATTTTTCAATTTTGCAGTTTTTGGATTTCTCAATTATTCGAGGTTTTCATTTTTACTTTTAAGTTGAAAAATTGAAAAATGGAAAAAAGACTAAAATGGTAAAAGTGAAAAATCGAGAAACTGAAAAATCTACAATTTCATATTAAAAAAAATGTTGAAAATCAGGGCACTGAAAAAAGAAAATGTAAAAATAAAGAAATTAAACAACCGAAACCAAAAATTACAAATCGAAAAATCGCAAAGCCTAAAAATTGAACATTTTAAAAGTTGAAAAATTGAAAAACTGAAAAATTTAAAGTAAGGAACTTGAGAAATTTCAAATTGAAAAACTGAAGAACCAAAAAAACATGAAAAACAAGAATTGAAAAATTCAAGTCAAAAAGCTGCAGAAGTGTTAATTACGCCTCTGGTTTTGACTCGGAAGAGGTTATCAGAAAACAAAAATCGAAAAAAATAATTATAATCTTTCAAAAATAAACCAATGAAATTCAAAAGTGGGGGTGAGTGGGATTAGTTTTACATTTTTATTTAGATTCCACTATTTATCAACACAAACTCCATTTTTCATCCGAAAAAATGATCAAGAAGAAAACTTGCTAAGATAAAATTGATTTTGGCAAATGATAAACCTTCTAAGAAAAGAGAGGGTGGGCGGGGCTAGTATTTGCTAAGATAAGACTGACTTTGGCAAAAGATAATTTTTTTTCGTCAAATGACATATCCTCTAAGAAAATATATATATAATATAATAATTTTTCAACTTTTCAATTTCTCGACTTCCAAATTTTTCAATTTTTCGTTTCTTGAATTTTTCTATTTTTCAATTTATTGTTATTAAGTCCTTGATTTTTATCTTTCATTTTCTAGATTTTTGTATTATCATTTGATCGATTTTATATCACAATTCTTCGTTTCTTTATTTTCTTTGTTTTTTCAATGTTTACTTCGATTTTGTAATTTTTCGTTTATTCAATTTTCGATTTTCCGATTTTTGTAATTTTCAATCTTTCAATTATACAATATTTCGCACTTTTTCTATTTTCAAATTTTTCAAGTTGTTCATTTCAAATTTTCAGATTTTCCGAAATTTTCGTCTTACACTTTTTCGTTTTTCTTTTGATTTTTTTAAATTTACAATTTTGAAGTTTTTCATTTTTTGATTCGAAAATTTAAATTGTTGATTTTTCAATTTTTCGACTTCTCAGTTCTTAATTATCCAATTTTTCGAAAAATTATGAAACTGAAAAATTTAAAAATTGCAAATCGAAAAATAGAAGCAACGCAAAATCGAAAAACTAAAAAATCAAAAATCGCCGTAGATCTCAGAATTGCAAAGCAAATAATTTAAAATCATTACAAGTGTTCACGTAAAAACTGATCGGGATTTGGCATTTCCAAGGTTAATTTAATCTTTCAATGAAATATCTGGGAGCTTTAAATTAACATACAGTCGAATCTCAGTGAGTCGCACCTTGATAAGTACTAATCTTCAGGTCAGGACGATGAAAAAGTTGTGTACAAATAGCAATGAACACTAGAATTTGTAATAAGTTTTTTTAAGACCCTATTTATCAAGGTTCGACTGTACATACTTACATTTTAATTTTATTATTTGTTATAAACAAAAATATAGGTTGGTCTATAAAACACATTGTGACGAAAATAAATGGAATTAAAGTAATTTGGCCTCTACGGAAAAAAATTAACGATTCAGAGCAGTTTCATTTTAATAATAATTGTATTTTTTTACACAGTGTAGACCATTAACTCGTTTATTTTCCGGAAAAACGATGACGTCATGTAAAAAATCGTTCAAAAAACGACCAATACAATCAATATAACAAAATAAGTGTGCCAATGTGGCAATTAATAATAACGAATAGATTTTACGATTTAACGCGATACGACTATATAATAAGTTTTATTGATTTTCGAATCGCTCTCATTCCAGACCGAACCACAGCCAAGCCACGACGGATATCTACAAGCCATCGAGGTCGCCATTGTCGACAGCAGCCCGTTATCCGTACCCCGCATCGCCGCAGCTGCCCCAAGCCCCCCCTCAACCGACGATCAGCCAGGTGCAAGTGTCGACACAAAGATACGCGCCAGGAGCGGCCGCCGTTTATACGGGGGGTTATAGGGACTACCGCCCCCAGAGGATATCCCTCCTCCACCCTGAATACGCTAGCGGAAGGGCCAGGGAGACCCTGCCCGGAGGGGCGGGCGTCGTCCATCTGGACAGCGGTGTCGCTCAAGGACAGCAGCCGATCAAGAAGATCAGGTTGCAGGAGCAGAAGGACAACATCCAGCCCTTGAGGATAGACACGAGAGTAATGAGCTTTTTTTTTTGTGTGTGTGTGTGTGGGTGAAGAGATGAGTTTTCGGTTAGAGTTTGCGATTTTGGTGGGAAAACAACTACATCTTTTTAAAATTGGCTGTTTTTTTATTTAATTTAAAATAATAACTAATAAATTCCAGATAAGTCCATAAAGTAATTTGGTCAATGTTTATTTTTTAAAACCAGAACTATACATAGATCAGTCTGCTATTAATCAAAATTTCAATTTCATGAATTTGGTGGACAAAGTATATTGTCATGAAACTGAATTCTATAAACGCCATTGTTTTTATGTTAAAGGTGGAACCTTACGCAATACAATTGACAAAACTTATTTAAATAGTAAGTACTCTGTCTTCTTGATGGACATCTAGGGAGCATTAAATCCTGTTTACAACGATAAACTACATTTTGTTATAGTGTAGTTGTAGGTAAGACATTTTAATTACCTCTGCTTCGATTTATGTCCCAAATTAAAGAGAAAAACTCACTGATTGGTCACACGTTCTTGTATTATTTATAGAACACAGATCAATTTAAAGGTTAAGGTTCAAGGTCAAAGAAATCATTAAGCTCGCGTCAAAACACCGATGGAGCTCCTAGACAGAAACCATTCAATCAAGACTTACGAATTAATGAAATTACTTAAAAAACACCAATAAACTGCGATTTTTGTAACGCTTTTCGTTTGACAGGAACAACCTGGAACCTACAACCCCCAAGTCGAAGCGATCTCTCCGACCCTCCCCGACCACCTCCAGCAAGAAGAACAAACCTTCCGCACCACCAAGGACGAGCTGATCCAGCAGATCGGCAAAGTCGACCGCGAAATCGCGAAAGCGGAGTCGCAGATAGCCATCCTCAAGAAGAAGGAGAAGGACTTGGAGGAGATCGCGAACAAGCCGTCCGTCAAAACCGAGGTCGAAGAGGATGCGCAGCCGAAGCACCAGAGCCTCCCGCAGAAGATCTACGCGGAGAACAGGAAGAAGGCGCAAAGCGCCCACGCGAAGCTCGACTGGCTAGGGCCGAAGGTCGAGTGGCCGTTGTACAACCAGCCGAGCGACACGGCGGTGTACCACGAAAACAAGAGGAAGCACATGGCGTTCAAGAAGCGCCTCCTGGAGTACTTCAAGCGCAGGCACGCGGAGAAGGACACGCGGAACGCGTATCTGACGGAGACGTACAGCAAATTGATGCAGGAGTGGCTGAGGAAGGTGGACAAGATCGAGGGCAGCACGAAGAGGAAGGCGAAGGAGGCGAAGAACAGGGAGTTCTTCGAGAAGGTGTTTCCGGAGTTGAGGAAGCAGAGGGAGGATAAGGAGAGGTAATTGATGGTTTTCGACTTTTTTTGTTGGGTTTGTACTGTCTTATCTGATGAGTAGCGAGTTCTTCCAGGGTTCGTTCTGAGACATTTCCTTTTTCTGATAAATGTGAGTGATGTATCACACATCGTCTGGTTTACAAGTGGGATTGTGTGTTTCTAAATATGGAATTCTGATTTAGTGTAATATTTTTTGTTGACACAACGCCGTAAAAATGCACTTAATCGTCTATCTAGAAAGTTTCGTAGAGGTCATTTTGTTCCATTTAAAGTAACGACTTTGTCATCATCGTGTATGAACAGAATGGTCAATTTCCCACAACAAATCACCATTTATTCAACATAAACCCAGATGTTTATCAAAATAATGCAATACTTTGTTTCAAAATGTTTTGTTCGATAAATGAATGTTTGAATTTCGTATTACATTTTTTTGTAACTGCCTTGTTGTTATATAATTCAGACTTTAATTGCTACCATTTCTAATGGATGCGTCTTTTTTATTTTTTTAATGTAATTCGAGTTTCCTTGTTGGGTTTTACTTTTCGTATTATCGTTTATTTGAATTTCTTTTTCGTTGAGTATGGAAAAGCAACCAGAAAATTTCTCGTAATTTAAAACTGTAATTATATTTCGACATTCATTTTGTGGTTTCCTTTTTACTTCTAAATTTCGTTGCGAAGATATTTTTTATTTCTATTTCCCGAACATAAGTTAGGAACGTTTTGCTTGTGACATTTATTAAAAAATTGTTTTATTTTTTTAAATTTCGTTCTGAATCTTACGGTTATCTGTTTTCGTTTGTATAAAATTTTCTTTAATGTTTTAACTTTCAAAGTAAATGTAATATTTTTTTACACCACGACTTTTTATTGGAATGTTATTTTTACTGCATTTTTTTTCTTTATGTATATTTCTGTTTATTGACTTTTGTTACTTTATTCCAATTATTTATTGTACATTTTTTTCCTAGGACAATCCGTGTACATTCGTCTCATTTTCTGTCTTTCATGTGTCTGTTTTCTCACTAAATGTTATTTAAATTTTATAAAATAAACCTATGGCTGTATTTGTGGTTTATGGATCCGCCTCGGTTTTGTTTATTACAATATTCATTGTTTAATACTCGTTAAAGTGTTCTTCAAATACATAATACGAAGAAATTTCTGGAACGTAGATCCGGGTTCGATTTCCGACAGGTCCATTTTTTTTTCCACACTGTCTGGTATTAACTATATTTTTTAACTTATATCATATCGGTTATCATAAAATTAATAAAATTTCACAAAATCAAATTTAATAATTTTTCAAAGAAGCTAAATTTGTGGAGTGAGAGAAGTTCTGTGTAAATAATCTTGAACCAGTTTTTCATCATTTTATTTGCAGATTTCATGTCTGTCGTTTATTGTAAATATTTTCTTTTTTTAGCTTATTGTTTTTCTGTCTGTGTCGATTTTTGTTAGACAGATATTCTTCGAAATTATCAAACCATTTCTTTCTTAGGACACAATCCATAATACATTTTCACCAAATATATCTGACCTGACTTATTTTCTCGTTAATGTTATTTAAATTTTATAAAATAACGTATAGCTATACTTGTGGTTTATGAATCCGCCTTGATTTTATTTATTTTTATTAGAATTTTCATTGTTTAACACTACTAGTACCTAGTAAAATTGTTCTTTAAATATATAATACGAAGAGATTTCTAGAACTGAGGCTATGGATCTAGCGTTAAATCTCCGACATCTCCATAACTTAAGGGGTTATTAATTTTATAATTTTTCGAAGCAGCAAAATTTGTTGGACTGTACATACTGTAGGGGCGAGGGAAGTTGAGAAAATAAAGGAAACGAAAAAACGAAAAGTTGTGGTATAAAAAAATAAATAAAAATTCAGCAACTGAAAAACGAAAAATTATAAAATTGTAATGTCGAAAAATTTCAAAATTAAAAACCTCCAAATCGAAAAATTAGAGAAACGAAAAACTGAAAAATTTGGAAGTCGAGAAATTGAAAAAATTAAAGTTGTAAAAACGAAAATTGTAAAACCCAATTCGATCTTCAATTTTTGGATTGTCGATTTTTAGATTTTTGAATTTTTTTTCTTTTTTTTTTTCAATGGTTTTTCAGTTTTTCAATTGGAATTTTTCTAGTTTTTATTTTAAACATGTAATAATAATTATGATTAAAAAAATGTTCACTTTTTCAATTTTATGATTTTAGAATTTTTCTGTTTTATTTTTAAATTTTTAATTTTTCAATTTCTGGACATTTAATTTCAATTTTTCGATCTTAACGTCTTACAATTTTTCAACCTTATAATTTTGAGGACTCTCTCGAATTTTTCTATTTATTCTTTTTTCGATTTTTTGTTTTTCGATGTTTCAATTTTTCGTTTCTTCAGTTCTTCGACTTTCCACTTTTTCGATTTTGTAATTTTTGGTTTTTTCAGTGTTTCGATTTTTCTACTTTTCGAATAAAAAAATGGGAAAATTGCACAATTGTAGAATTGAAAGATCAAAAATGAAACGGAAATGTCTATAGCGAAAACTTTGAAAAATCTGAAAATTGGAAATCAAAAACTAGAAAAATTGAAAAAAACTAAAAATCGGAAAATCGTAAAATTGGAAAACCAACTTGAGGAATTTAAAAATTGGAAAACCTATGAATTGAAAAATGTAGGAATAAAAATTTGAAAAATTCATAAACTAAAAATTGTAAAATGGAAAGAAACATCGAAAAAACGAAAAATTGTAATATAAAAACCAAAAAATGAAAATTAAAAAATCGAAATAACAATAAATAAAAATCAAGAACTTGAAAAATTGAGGAAACATAAAAATGAAAAATCGAAAAATTATAAAATTGTAATGTCGAAAAATTTCAAAATTAAAAACCTCCAAATTGAGAAATTAAAGAAACGAAAAACTGAAAAATTTGGAAGTCGAGAAATTGAAAACTTGAAGAAATTAAAGTTGTAAAAACAAAAATTGTAGAACCCAATTCGATCTTCGATTTTTCGATTGTCGATTTTTAGATTTTTTTCTTCTTTTTTCAATGTGAAATTTTTCATTTCTTCGTTTTTTCAGTTTTTCAATTGGAATTTTTCTAGTTTTTATTTTAAACATGTAATAATAATTATGATTAAAAAAATGTTCACGTTTTCAATTTTATGATTTTAGAATTTTTCTATTTTTTATTTTTCAATTTTTAATTTTTCAATTTCTGGACATTTAATTTCAATTTTTCGATCTTAACAATCTTACAGTTTTTCAACCTTATAACTTTGATGAGTCTCTCGAATTTTTCTATTTATTCTTTTTTCGATTTTTCTTTTTCAACGTTTCAATTTTTCGTTTCTTCAGTTCTCCGATTTTCCGCTTTTTCGATTTTGTAATTTTTGGTTTTTTCAGTGTTTCGATTTTTCAACTTTTCGTCTATGGTGAAAACTTTGAAAAATCTAAAAATTGAAAAACAAAAACTAGAAAAATTGAAAAAAACGAAAAATCGGAAAATCGGAAAATTGGAAAACCAACTTGAGGAATTTAAAAATTGGAAAACCTATGAATTGAAAAATCTAAGAATAAAAGTTTGAAAGATTGAAAAAACTAAAAATTATAAAATGGAAAGAAACATCGAAAAAACGAAAAATGTAATATAAAATCGAAAAATGAAAATTAAAAAATCGGGAAAATAATAAATAAAAATCAAGAACTTGAAAAATTGAGGAAACATAAAAATGAAAAATCTGAAAAATTAAAATTTGCAAAACTGAAAAATTGAAAAATCAAAAACTGTAATATCGAAAAATGTCAAACCAAAAAATTGACGAAACGAAAAATTGACTCGATTACACTGCTTGCTTAGCTTACGCTCGGAAAGTAAAAAAGTCATAGCATTGCAGTAAAAACTCAAAAAAAAATAGAGGATTTTACAAAGTGTCTATCTAAATAATTTTGGGCCAATTTTTCTTAATTTTTATTTGTAAATTTCATATCTGTCGTTTATTATAATTTTTTTTTAGCCTATTCTCTATGTCGTCTGTCTGTCTGTCTGTTTGTCATGTGACTGTCGTTCGTATCGATTTTTGTTAGACAGACAATCTTCGAAATTATCGCACCATTCCTTTCTTAGGACAATCCATATATATTCCATTTGCTGTTTTTCGTGTGTCTGTTTTCTCACTAAATGTTATTTAAATTTAATAAAATAAACCTATGGCTGTATTTGTGGTTTATGGATCCGCCTCGATTTTGTTTATTATAATATTCATTGTTTAATACTGCTAGTAGTTAAAGTGTTCTTCAAATACATAATACGAAGAAATTTCTGGAACGTAGATCCGGGTTCGATTTCCGACAGGCCCATTTTTTTTTCCACACTGTCTGGTATTAACTATATTTTTTAACTTATAGCGGTTATCATAAAATTAATAAAATTTCACAAAATCAAATTTAATAATTTTTCAAAGAAGCTGAATTTGTGGAGTGAGAGAAGTTCTGTGTAAATAATCTTGGACCAGTTTTTCATAATTTTATTTGCAGATTTCATTCTGTCGTTTATTGTAAATATTTTTTTTTAGCTTATTGTTTTTCTGTCTGTGTCGATTTTTGTTAGACAGGTATTCTTCGAAATTATGAAACCATTTCTTTCTTAGGACACAATCCATAATACATTTTCACCAAATATGTCTGACCTGAATTATTTTCTCGTTAATGTTATTTAAATTTTATAAAATAACTTATAGCTATACTTGTGGTTTATGAATCCGCCTTGATTTTATTTATTTTTATTACAATTTTCATTGTTTAATACTACTAGTACCTAGTAAAATTGTCCTTTAAATATATAATACGAAGAGATTTCTAGAACTGAGGCTATGGATCTAGCGTTAAATTTCCGACATCTCCATTTTTTTTTCTGACACTCGGACTGGTATTATCTGTTTTTTTTAACTTAAGGGGTTATTAATTTTATGATTTTTCGAAGCAGCAAAATTTGTTGGACTGTACATACTGTAGGGGCGAGGGAAGTTGAGAAAATAAAGGAAACGAAAAAACGAAAAGTTGTGGTATAAAAAAATAAATAAAAATTCAGCAACTGAAAAATCGAAAAATTATAAAATTGTAATGTCGAAAAACTGAAAAAAGTCGAGAAATTGAAAAATTGAAAAAATTAAAGTTGTAAAAGCGAAAATTTTAAAACCCAATTCGATCTTCGATTTTTCGATTGTCGATTTTTAGATTTTTGAATTTTTTTCTTTTTTTTTTCAATGTGAAATTTTTCATTTCTTCGTTTTTTTCAGTTTTTCAATTGGAATTTTTCTAGTTTTTATTTTAAACATGTAATAATAATTATGATTAAAAAAAAACTTTTTCGATTTTATGATTTTAGAATTTTTTTATTTTTCAATTTTTAATTTTTCAATTTCTGGACATTTAATTTCAATTTTTCGATCTTAACAGTCTTACAGTTTTTCAACCTTATAATTTTGATGACTCTCTCGAATTTTTCTGTTTATTCTTTTTTCGATTTTTTGTTTTTCAATGTTTCAATTTTTCGTTACTTCAGTTCTTCGATTTTCCACTTTTTCGATTTTGTAATTTTTGGTTTTTTCTGTGTTTCGATTTTTCAACTTTTCGAATAAAAAAATGGGAAAATTGCACAATTGTAGAATTGAAAGATCAAAAATGAAACGGAAATGTCTATAGTGAAAACTTTGAAAAATCTGAAAATTGGAAATCAAAAACTAGAAAATAGAAAAAAACGAAAAATCGGAAAATCGGAAATTTGGAAAACCAAAATTTGCAAACTTGAGGAATTTAAAAATTGGAAAACCTATGAATTGAAAAATCTAAGAATAAAAATTTGAAAAATTGGATAAACTAAAAATTATAAAATGGAAAGAAACATCGAAAAAACGAAAAATTGTAATATAAAATCGGAAAAATGAAAATTAAAAAATCGGGATAATAATAAATATTAAATAAAAATCAAGAACTTGAAAAATTGAGGAAACATAAAAATGAAATATCGAAAAATTTCAAACCAAAAAATTGACGAAACGAAAAATTGACTCGATTACACTGCTTGCTTAGCTTACGCTCGGAAAGAAAAAAAATCACAGCATAGCAGTAAAAACTCAAAAAAAAATAGAGGATTTTACAAAGTGTCTATCTAAATAATTTTGGGCCAATTTCTCTTAATTTTTATTTGTAAATTTCATGTCTGTCGTTTATTATAAATTTTTTTTAGCCTATTCTCTGTGTCGTCTGTTTGTCTGTCTGTCTGTTTGTCATGTGACTGTCGTTTGTATCGATTTTTGTTAGACAGAAATTCGAAATTATCGGAACATTCCTTTCTTAGGACAATCCATATATATTCCATTTTCTGTTTTTCGTGTGTGTGTCGTCTGTAGGTGGTAAACCGCTAACCAAATATATCTAATAATCCCCACCAACAATTTAATGACATTACTTCAATTTTTTTTTTTCGTTAATGTTATTTAAATTTTATAAAATAACCTATAGCTGTACTTGTGGTTTATGAATCGGTCTTAATTTTATTTATTTTTATTATAAATTTCACTCTTTAATACTGCTAGTAGGAAAACTGTTCTTTAAATACATAATACGAAGAAATTTCTAGAACTGGGGCCATGGATCAGTGGTCCCTGGTTCGATCTCTGACATCTCCATTTTTTCTTATAGCGGTTATCATAAAATTAATGAAATTTCGCAATATCAAAGTTTACAATTTTTCGAAGAAGCTGGATTCGTTGGACTATACTTCAGAGGCGGGGGAAGTTCTGCTGAAATAACATTGTACCGGTTTTTCGTAATTTTATTTTTGTAGATTCCATTTTTGTTGTTTGTTGTATTTTTTTTTCAGTCTACCATCTATATGTCGTCTGTCTATCGCCTGTCAATTGTTTGTCTATCTTTTGTCTGTCTATCGTCTGTGTCGGTTTTTGTTGGGCAGATAATCTCCGAAATCCGTATATATTGCATCATGTCTTTCGTGTTTTTGTCTGTCGTTTGTCGTTTGTCATCTGTCTATCGTCTGCTTATCTATTTGTCTGTCGTCTATCTATCGTCTGTCTGTCTGTCTTCTGTGAATGATAAACCGTTAACCAAATATGTTTAATCATCCCCACCAACAATTTAATGACGTCACCTCAAAATTTTGCTCAGTAAATGTCATTTAGATTCTATAAAATAACATTCCCCTGTACTTATCATGATTTTGTTTATTATCATTAGTATTATAATTTTTATTGGGTAATACTGGTAATATTAAAACTGTTCTTTAAATATTCAATCAAAATTTTTGAAACGTGGGCTATGGATGAGTTTGTTTTTTTTTCTAAGAATGTATTATCTAGGTTTTTTAACTCATAGGAGTGATCATAAAATAAATAAAATTTCGCAAAATCAAATTTTATCATTTTTCGAAGAAGCTTTGGAGTTTTCGGACCAGTTTTTCTCGTAATTTTATTTGTAGATGTCATATCATTTATCGTTTATTAGGTATAAATAGTTTTTTCCTCAGCTAATTTCCTTACATTTGTTGCTCTTGGTTTTTTTTTTTTTTTTTATTGTATTTATGTTATTTTCTGGAAGTATAAGTAGTATGAAATACGTCAATTAAAAGAAAAACACTTTTTTATTTTAGTTTTCTTTTTTATAAGAATTCTTTGGCATATTGGTAATCAGATTTTTCTTTTTCATTACAAACACTTCTTGTAATTTTGTTTTATTGACACATTTTTTTTTAATAATTTAAGTGTCTTTGTTATTCTTTTTTATTATTTCTTTCTTAAGTCCATAAAGGTGGATTGTAAAGAATTTCTTATAATTTAAAACTAGAATTATATTTCTTTATTATATGTTTTGAAGTCTGGATTTTCTGGATGTCTTATTTATATTTCGTAATTTGTTATTTTGGCTTTGAACATAGTCACTCAAATAAGATCCATTTGATTGTTTTTTCCAACACTTTAAAATTTTGTGTGATTATTGCTTTTAATGGTTATACAGAGTAATAAATGTTTTATTATCTATTCTAGATAAAAAATTTATCGCTCTGTATTGTTAAAATTTCATAAAATATAAGAATTTTTTTTATTTTCTTTTTTCTTGTGTTTTTCTTCCGCTTCTTATGATTTCTTTTTTCGTGGATTCTTGTGGATTTCAGTTGTAGTGCAGTATAGATTCTCTTTTGTGTTTTTTAACGACGTCGGTTTTATTTGTTTTCTACAAAGATTCGAGAAAATTTCAAAAACGTATTTATTATTTATTTTTAATCAATCCAAAATTAGACAGATGCGGTAATTAATTACAAAAAAAAGTCCGTGTTCGGTGGGACTAGAGTTCATTTATTATTCATATATTTTTTACCGTCCCAGTTTTTTCTTTATTTTTTCTGTTTTTGTAATAATGTTGGTGTTGTCGTTTTTTCTTGTTGACTTTGAATTTTACTATTTAATGAGTTCTGTTCTTCACAAGACAAGTAAACATCGTCAAGTTTATTAAATTTATTTACTTGTTTATTTGCTCCGTTCTCTGATGTTGTGTCTAATTTGCAATTTAATTTAACTAATACCCCGTTTGCAAATTTCGCCAAACTTGTTGCTTTTTCCCTTGGACTTGCGTTGTTTTATTAAACACACTGCGACTTTTTTCTCCCGTTTCTAATTCGCCCGGAATTTTCAGGTTTAACCGCGTGGGCGCCCGGGTAAAATCCGAAGCCGACATGGAAGAGATAATGGACAACCTCCAGGAGCAAGCCCTCGAGGACAAAAAAATGCGCAGTTACGCCGTCATCCCCCCGATCCTCCTCGACTCGAAGGAACGCAAAGTCACGTACCAGAACGACAACGGCTTCATCGAGGACATGGAGATGGTCTACAAGAGCCGACAGTTCCTCAACATCTGGACGCCCAGTGAAAAGGAAATCTTCAAAGAGAAGTACCTCCAACATCCGAAGAACTTCGGAGTCATAGCGTCGTTCATCGAACGAAAATCCGTTTCTGACTGTGTTCAATATTATTATCTTAGTAAAAAGACGGAGAATTATAAACAGTTGTTGAGGAAGTCGAGGCAAAGGACGAGGAGTTCGAGAAATAATACGCAGAAAGTTAACAGTAGCGCCAATACGTCTGTGGTGGATATTTTGACGACAGGTGCTTGTTTTGTTTATTTATTTAGTTGGCTTTTAATTGGTTTGGAGTCGCTAAATTAGTGTTGGGTAATGTCTTACGTAAGTTTAACAGTTTATGATGGCAGGAAATGGGCTGTTTTAATGGTGTTTGTGTTGAGGAGTGGGTGGATAATGGTACATGTGATTGGGTTTTTACATTCACGAGAATCGGATTCGTTGGACTTCGGTGTGGTTCTTCAGTTCTTTGAATGGCATTTTTAGCCCATCGTTGTCCATCAAACCAAGTTTTATATAGTTTTAAGTTGAAAGGTTGATTTTCGCAAATTTTGCTTCAACTTTTTTTGTTTCTGAAAAGGTCAGCTTGTGGGTAAACACAACGATTTAATATTCCGAAAGCACGTGTTTTTTGTGGTAGCCAATCATGCCGATATCGATTTTTAATCATTGCGGAGCAATGAAAAGATAATCATTTGAAATTAGATTACTTAAGTTTAATGGAGCGTTGATTGTGTCCATATTTTCCATGCACGGTGGTTTTTTATGCATAAGAGCTGTCCATGTTAACAACTAGGTGAATTAATTTTTGCCTCTTTATTAGTTCACCAATGTTTGTTGTTTTCGGAAAAATAGAACTTCGTAATGTTTGATTTACCAGAACTGGATATTTTTGTTAGCTGCTGTTGTTTTATTGTTAATTATGTTTTTTGTTTGTTTCGTACCATTAAGTTCTAAACGAAAACAAAAAGTTTATTTAGCGCTTACGTAAATAACTCTAATTAGCAATGCTTTTGTTTTAAAATTTGTCACTCAAATTGAGACAAAATTATATACTTTTGTTCAGTGTGGTGAAAATTCTTTTGATCGAAGTGGGAGAATGTCGGTGGTAATTCTGTAAATGTTAACTACAGCTGTTAAAATAAGGAAATTGTGTTGGTATTAAAAAATGAGTTCTTTTTATTAGATGTGTGTCATAGACTTTTGCACTTTATGGGTGAAAATGAGTTACGAAATCGTAATTTGTTTGAAATTATGTTAGAATGTTAATGCACTGTTAGCTAATGTTTTTAGCAATATAAAAAAAAGTAATATCTTAAATTATACAGAAAATGAAAGAAGAAATTAATAATAAGGTCTGCTCAATTAAACTACATTAGAACATTTAAATTTTCCGTTTTTTTATAACATGAATATTTATTTGTAAAATTTCAAATTTTAGTTATCACAAATTTTATATATTTTTTTTTCAGTTTTTTAAATAGTTTGTAAATATTGATTTATCTCATTTAATGAATTAGATACTAAATTTCTGGCATATTTCCTACAAAGATGTACGAATTTCTTTATTGGGCCATCTTTCTTGGTTCCTTTCCTACCAAGTCAGGAATTTATTCTACTAATTATTTTTTAAATTCAATTTGCTCTCAGGGAATTTTGATTATTCAGTACCCACTACCAACAAACTCACTAGATTTTCATGGCCAACCCCGCGTAGTAAAGATCGTGAATGGACAATACCATGCGAATGACAATAAACTGAATTAGAGTTGGCTGTGTCAGCAGTTGTATAGGTGGTACTACTGCACAAATGACACCTCATTACATTATTCAATCACGTGTCAGTGTCAAAAATGACACGTGCAACAGAGATTCTTATGTGTATATTATTTCAATATGTTAGAGGTTATGTTGAGATTGATTTACTTCAAACTGAGAACATATAAAATACCCCCCCCCCCCCCCTAAACAACTGATCTATCTTAAATGTGCAAAATATGATCAGTCTAGGCTTGTAATTTATCATGACATTCATGTTTTTTAGATTTTCTTATACAGGGTGACTCGCAAAAAATAATGAATCAGTCAATTTAGTTTATCGAATAAAGCAAGAATTGCAAAATTGAATTATGCGAAATCTTGGAGATCTTTTAAAGTGATTAAATTGACAAATTTTTGATCAAAATGTATTTGCTTATCCCCCCCTAAAAAACTGATTTATCTTAAATGTGCAAAATATGATCGGTCTAGGCTTGTAATTTGTCATTGCATTCATGTATTTTTGATTTGCTTATACAGGGTGACTCAAAAAAAATTAATGAATAAGATTATTTATTTATTTATTTCTTAAGATAAGATTGATTTTGGCAAATGATATACCCTCTAAGAAAATAGAGGGCGGGTGGGCGGGGTCTGTATTTGCTAAGATAAGACTGAATTTGGCATATCCTCTAACAAAACAAAGGGTGGGTGGGTGGGGCTAATACTTTAGTTATATGTACTTTTGTTGTGGGGGAAGTTCTGTCGAAACAACTTTCGAACAATTTTTTTATTATAATTTTTAGAAATGGGGAAAAACTCAGAGAGCTCTTTGAGTAGCATACAGTACAATTATTTCTGACTACACAGAGTGTTTTGTTTTCGAGGCATAACATACAATGTGTTTTTTTTATGAAATACCCTATATATTTTCTCATATTCTTATTAACCTCTATGGCTTTATAATCATACTTTGTTTTTTCAAGGTTACCACGTTATTCCGATTTATTGGATTTGTTTAACAACGTTGCAATATTTTGTGGAAACAATGAGACGCACTAATAGATACAGGGTGTTTCATTTGAAAAAAACGGAAATATCGACATTTGAAAATTGTTATAATTTATTTTTTATAAACACTATGAAAACCCAATTTTATTTATATATAGATTTTAAAAATAAGTATTCCGGTTTTTTTTGGAAGTTGGAATAAGTTGACAACGTCGCAGCGCAATTTCGAAAATGTGCTAGGTTATAAAGCAAAAAAAAAAGTTGTATAAGAATATACAGGGTGTTGAAAAAATGGCGCACCAACTCTATGACACGTTGTTGAATAGTGCTTATAGAACAGAGAAAAAAACAATAAAAAAAATTGTAGGGCCCAAATGTAGAAAATGTAGCCCTTCAAATTTTGACTTTTTTTTTTAATATTTCACCATATTCTAATTCACCACTTTGTGTTGGACACATAAAATCAATCAGACTTCGTAGTATCTTATTTTCATCCATAGTTTTCTTCATTTTATAAAATAACAAAAAACTTAAAAATTGTTTAGGGTAAATTGGACAAGTGTAGCTAATTTTTAGAGTTTTTTAATTTATCGGCCTAAATCGATATTTTGTTTCTGTAAGTGAACGTCAAATTGACTGAAGGATTTTTTTAATGATTTTTCCCGAACTTAGACTAGTGAACTTAATAATGTACCATTGAGTTGGTGAACCATTTTTTCAGCACCCTGTATATTTTTTCATATTCTTATTAGCCTCTTATGTAGCTTTATAACCACTGTTGCAATAGTTTATGGAATAAATACAAGGTGTCGTATTTGAAAAAACGAAAAAATCGACATTTGAAAATTCTTATAATTATGTATTTTTATAAACACTCTGTATATTAAAACCCAATTTTCTTTACACCACAATAGAACGTGTAGATATCTTTATTTACTTTTGCATGAAATATTGTGATCCGGATTTTAGAAATAACTGTATTACGATTTTTTTCTGTAAACACTTCGATCGGTAAAAAAAATCAAGAAAATGGAATAATTTGACAACGTCGCATCGGAATTTCGAAATTAAGCTAAAGCCTAAGAAGAGGACGGTCAAAATATATATAAATTGATATCGAAAAAACTAAGTTGTTTGTTAGGTCTTAAAAATAGAACACTCTGTATAGTTGAAAATAATTTTAGTATAAGGTCCTTAAAGAACTACCACTTTGCTTTTAGACATTTTTTAGTTCTAATTAATGAAATAAAAAGTTTGAAATTTGGAGCAGTTAATTATCACGAAGTTTTTTCGGAAATGACATCAAGTTTTCCTTTTCACATAGAATAACAGTATGCTTTTATACGTAACTAAATCATGAAATTTTTTAAATGTTCTAGTTTTCCTGAAAATGACACCAACTTTTTTGTTTCAGACTGCATAAATGTTCTTTTTTATCAGTTATTTAATATTTTTGTAATATGTATTTTGTGCACTAAGTGGTTTTGAAATTTAGAGCAAAATTCCCCAGATAATTTTTTAATTTTTGCAAATTCAGCTATCAACTGTACAAAACTTTGTCAATTTTAACATTAACACTTCTTAAAACATCAACAAATTTTGTACAATTTATTTCCGTCTTTTATTTTTATTTTTTCAAGTTCGTGTGAAGATTCCTATTCTCCAATAAATATTTTGCTAAACATACGAAATGCATGCAACTCAGATTTTTTTGCTGAAAAATTCTTTTGTTGTAATCTTCCTCCTTTCCATTTTTTCAAGATTCTTAGCATAGGCTAAGAATCTTGAAAAACTTCACTCCACTTTCTTTGAAAAATATCACGGAGAAATCTTCAAAAATACATGGCTGCCTTTGATCGTGTTTTTTATTGCTCTGTTGGTATAAAAATATACAGCAAATAAAGAAACATCCGTCAAAGCCTTATTTTCTTAAATATTTTAAAACACAATTAAATGAAATACCGCGAAATCGAAAAAGAAATTAGTCAAACTTGGCAATGCACCACAAGCCGTTTGTCGTAATTTATTTTTTTTATTAAATGTCAAATTGACACTAATTTGAAAACTCAAAAATGAATCAAAATCACCGTTTTCCACTTTTGTCCCATTTCTGAAGTAAAATTCTAACAAAAAAGCTTTAATTTCGTTTGATAACATCGCAAATTACTGTTGTCAACGTGACGTTTAATAAAAAATTATTTTAAACTAAGACAAACGGTTTTTCGTGCATGGCCAACTTTGACTAATTTCTTTTTCGATCTCTCGGTATTATGTCACTGTAAAAGGAAACAATATATTGCCTATATATTTTATTTGAAAAAAAATGCCGTTTCTAAAATGACCAAAAATAACGTCAAAATTAGACTTTTTTTTTCTGTTAATTTACTTTTTAATAATAGAGTGTAAAACTAATAATAACATTTAACCAAAACAAAAAACCTATTCAGTGCACTTAAAAGTATTCTGTATTATATTTAAAAAGAAAAAATTGATCAAGTATCAATTATTTGAGGGAATTTCGGAACACTGTTTTCAGATTACAGATCTCCAGAAATCGTACCAGATATATCGTCGACTTTTTTGTTAGAGACAATACACAGTAAAAAAACTACTGCTAACGATCATTTTTTCTATATCTCACTCCCAGCAAGCAAATAAAGCCAAAAATTGATCTGATACGATTTCTAAAGTTTAACAAGCTGAAAACCGCGTACCAAAATTTCCATAAATCACTGAAATATTGATTTTTTAAAATACGTGATGTAAAAATTTCAACAAAATTAAAAAAATATATGATAATAAACTGTTTAAAAAAAAAACTGTCCTCGCAGTTATGTAGTGGAAGCTGTGAACAAGTTACATTTAAAATTTCATAACAATAAGTGTGTTAATAATGGAAATATAGAAAATTCTCTTAATTAATCATTCTAAATTTTACAGTTCTGTGTTCTAAAAATAACCAAGTGGAGTTGTAGTTATTATTAAAACACCCCGTATAATTAAGTTTTTTTGTGTGTTACTATACAGATAGTTCAGAGCTCTACTGCGTAATTTTAATGACAAATTATACGGAAAAAAATAAATAATTGTTACCAAAATTATGTTCCATGATCATCTTACAATAAGAAATGTTTTCTAATATTTAATCATGATGGAAAGTAATTTTGAGCATTTTCATCATCAGAAATTTTTAAATTCTCTAATAGCCATATTTTAAAGAATTGACCAAACTCGTTAGCATTATTTACTTTTTATACTTTGCTGTATAATTCGCCATTAAAATTATGTAGTGCTTTGAATCACCCTGTATATTCAGTTTTTGTACAATTTTTTTTACTTTGAGTGTACATAGTTTGTTGCTTTTGAACATCGCTTTACTCATTTTTAGTCAATGAATTATTCAATAAAGCAGCTCTTTTGAGGTCAACTATCTGTCAAATTAACTTATTTTATTAATGTGGATAAAATCACACATCTAGAATTGTCAAAGTCTTCACACTAAATGTAGTTCGATAAAAGGACATGATTATGTTGCCAGCACTGATTATTTTTTAATATTTGCCAAAGTTGGTACCTATTAAATCTACTAAACCAATATTACTATAAATATGAATGCTATGCCTCTTATATTTCATCTAAAATTTACTTTTCCACTTCCCAGTTTAACTTTTTTATTATTATTAAGGTAATTTAAATTGTTGGAATTAGGGAACAAATTATGTATTAATATGACAATTTGTATATTATGTAATGAAAATTATTGTAGTGTTAACAATACGTTTTGTAATGTGTGTGATTAAAATGTGTGACAGAATTAATCCAGATCTACATTTAAAAATTATTTTTAGTTATAGAGATATTTATAAAGTTTACAGCATTTTTTGTACCGGGTGATTTTGTTAATTTCCAAGTACCAAGTAGATTGTAACTTGAACTTTCGAAAATGACAGCAGTGCACAATTTAGGTTATGTTACGACAAAAAATAGATCAGTATTTAAAAAATCCCTGCAACCAACTGCAATTTTCTTTTTATTGATTGCACATTACAAAAGTAAGCAAAAATATTAACCCAACCTAATTTAAAACTACTCCAACCCTCGCTAGAACCAGCTAACTATGATTACAATGTCGACCCTCCCTTGTTCCAGGCGTAACGACCCGCCTGCAACGCGAGCAACAGCAACAACGAACCGTCGTCCAGCAGTCCCGCGAGGCCCCCGGCGAGACCTCGGCGTCGACGACGGCCGCCCCCACCTCCGTCCCGACGTCGACGGCGACGACGACGACCGCCCCGTCGACGGCGAGCTCGACGCCCCCGTCGACGAGTCCGTCGGCGACGGCCGCCGCGCCCTCGAGCGGCGGGGCGTCGCCTTCCAGCGCCGGCTCGAGCGCCACCACGACGGCCCCCACGACGACGACGGCGGCCGCGACGGTCATCACGACGACCGCCGCCGGTGCGCCGGTCATGTCGACGGCGGCGGCGGCGGCAGCGTCGACGGCGTCGGCGGCGCAGCCGGCGTCGCCGAAGCCGGCCGACAACGCGAATGCCAGCGTCACCGACACGAAGACGGGATTCAGCGACCTGAACTCGTTCGAGGACTACAGGAGTCAAGGCGGGAAGTTTTTTGGGGACGACGCCAAGGGGGACGGTAGCGCGACGGCCGCCGACGCGGCCCACGACGGCGTCGTCGTTACGGTGAAGAAGGAGAGTGAGCCGTCGGGACAGGAGGTCGCGAGGTAAGTGCTCAAGGAGCTGAATTGAGAGCCTTGTGGTTTTTAATTTATGATGACGATCTACTAATCAGAAAAAATTGTATTTTGTTGTTGTTTATTCTGTTGGGTTTTCATCCAAAATTAGAGTGAATAATAAAAAATGTTATTTTTGTTATTATTTATTAACCAATTTCGGCCTTTTTAGTCTTCTTCAGGTTGAAATTGAATACCCCACACTTTAAATTACATAATGCTTTTATAATAGCTTATAATAACTTATAATTAGTATCTAATTATTTGACAAAAATAAAAAGAGATTCGGGACCTAAACGTGACGTCATAGTGCTAATCGACCTATTTAGAATGTGGAATTCAACGATCGATTTAAAAAAAAAACAACTCATATTTACCTGTTACGATTTTAGGAATGTTCATGGTAAAACGCTATCCAAAATTATGCATGCTATTTAAATTTTATAACTTATAAAATAACATACTCCTGTACTTGTGGTATATGAATCCGCCTTTGTTTTTTAAGTGTCTCTTAAAATGACCGAGAAAAATTTTTCTTCTGACCTCTCTTTATTTTTACTTCCCGAGCGTAAGCTAACTATAAGGAAATATAATAATCGAATCCATCGAACGACTGGCTATTTTCATGTGTTCTCTACATTTCTTGACCCCTAGAATACCAAAAAATAGGTCTCCCATTTCCGTCCGTTTGTCTGTCTTTCGGGCTGCAGTTTATCCGAATTTTTATTAGAATTGTCAAATTTTATATGTCGATTGTAAAAGTAACCAAAATGGAATGTCGTCATCTCCAAATTTTACAATAGTAAATGTTATTTAAATTTTATAAAATATCGTACTTCGTTTGTGGTTTATGAATCCTTATTGAATTTTACCCAAGACATCGAGATTTTTGGAAAATAAAAATAACATTCTAGACAAATTTCCCAATTTTTCGAATTTTCGATTTTTCGGCTCTTTGATTTCTGGTTTTTTCGACTTTCGATTACTCAATTTTTCGATACTTCTGTGTTGGGATTCTTCAAATTTTTGATTTCTCGTTTTCTTCATTTTTCGATTTCTCTATTTCCTCATTTTTCGATTTCTCGATTTCTCCATTTTCCGGTTCCTCAATTTCCTCGTTTTTCGATTTCCCAATTTTTCGATTTTTAAATTTCTCGATTAATCGGCTTTTTTATTTTCTCATTTTTCGATTTCTCGACTTTTCAATATTTCCACCATTTTTCAGTTTTTTATTCTTCAATTTTTCAGGTTTTCGTTTTTCAATTTTTCGATTTTTCGCGTTCTCGACTTTTCAATTTTCGATGTTACAGTTTTAGGATTTTTTAGATTTTCGATTTTTCACTTTTTTTCCATTTTTCAATTTTTTTATTTCAGTTTTGGGATTTTTCAGTATTTTGGTTCTTCAATTTTTCGATTTCTGAGCTCTTCGATTTCTCTATTTTTCCATTTTTCCTTGGGTATTTTAATTTTTCAATTTTTAGAATTGTTTATTTTTCGATTTATAAAATTGTTGGTTTTCGAATATTTTTGAATAAAATTATGGACAAAATTTCCCAATGTTGGGAATTTTTTATTTTTTGGCTTTTTATTTCTCGTTTTTTCAACTTTCGGTTACTCAATTTTTCGATATTTTAGGGTTGGCATTTTTCAAATTTTTGATTTCTCCATTTCTCAATTTCCTCATTTTCCGATTTCAATTGCGTCATTTTTCGATTTTTAAATTTCTCGATTAATCGATTTTTTGTTTTTCACTTTTGGATTTCTCAAATTTTCAATGTTACAATTTTTCGATTTTTCAACATCGATTTTTTGACTTTTCGGGTTCTCGATTTTTCAGTTTTCGATGAAACAGTTTTAGGAGTTTTCAATTTTTTGGTTGCTTCAATTTTCCCTCCATTTTTCAATTTTTTGAAATTCCAGTTTTGGAATTTTTCAATATTTTGGTTCTTCAGTTTTTCAATTTTTCAATTTTTCGATGTGTATTTTCATTTTTCAATTTTAGTTTTTCTAATTTCTCGATTTTCTGATTTTTAAGTTTTTTGAAATTTCGACTTTTTAAATTTTCGATTTTTCGGCTTTTTGATTTTCCGTTTTTTCAACTTTCGATTACTCAGTTTTTCCGATATTACAATTTTTCGATTTCTTAATTTCCTCATTTTTCCATTTATTAATTTCTTCATTTTTCGATTTCTCGATTTCTTCATTTTCTAATTTCTCAATTTCCTCATTTTTCGATTTCTCTATTTCCTCATTTTTGGATTTTCAGTTTTACAATTTTCCAGTTTTTCAACTCTATAAATTTTCGTTCTTTAAATTTCTCGATTAATCGATTTTTTGATTTTTCTATTTCTCGACTTTCCAATATTTCGGTTTTTCAATTTTTCGATTTTTCAGGTCTTTTATTTTTCAATTTTTCGACTTTGATTTTTCGACGTTCAGTTTCTCGATTTTTCAATTTTCGATGTTACAGTTCTAGGATTTTTTTATTTTTCGATTCTTCAATTTTTGGAGACTTTTCAATATTTTGATTCTTCAATTTTTCGATTTCTCGATTTTTTTGATTTTTCAGTTCTCATATTTCGATTTTTTTAATTTGTGATTTTTCCGAGTTTTGATGTTTTGATTTCTAGATCTTTCGATTTTTTCGACTTCTCGGTTTTCAATGTTTCGATTGTTTTGATTTTCGATTCATTAAATTTTTCGATTTTTGAATTTTTCCATTTTTCAGTACATATTTCGATTTTTCAATTTCTCAATCTACCGATGTTTCGATTTTTTGATTATTCAGGTTCTCATTTTTTAAAATTTTTCAGTTTATCGATTTTTTTTATTTTTCAATTTTCAACTTTCCGATTTTTCGATTTTGGTCTATTTCGATTTATTAATTTTTCGATTTTTGGATTTCTCGACATTTCGATTTCTTGATTTCTGAATCTTTTGATATTTCGCATTCTCGATGTTTCAATTTTTGAATTTTTCCAATTTTCGATTTCCTAATTTTTCGTCATTCCAGTTTTGGAATTTTTCAGCTCCTCGATTTTTAGTTATTCGATTCTTCAATTTCCCGAATTTTCAATTTTTGCGATTTTTAAAATTTCGGATTTTCGATTTCTCGATTTTTCGAATTTTTAGTTCTTCGATATTAGAATTTTTCGAATTATTAAATTTTAGATTTTTAAGCTTTTTTATGGTTCTATTTCTCGATCATTTGATTTATCGATTTCTCGGTTTTTGAATTTTTCGCGTTTTAAAATCTCTGATTTTTCAAATTGTCAATTTTACGGTTTTAAAATTTTTCGATTTATCGATTTTTTGATTTTTCCATTTCTCGATTTCTCGACTTGCAATATTACGAATTTTCAGTACAAATTTCATTCTTCAATTTTACAATTTTTCAGGTTTTTGTTTTTTCAATTTTTCGACTTTGGTTTTTCGACTCATGGGTTTCTCGATTTTTCAATTTTCGATCTTACAGTTTTAGGATTTTTCAAATTGTCGATTCTTCAATTTTTCCTCCATTTTTCACTTTTTTGAAATGTCAGTTTTGGGATTTTTCAATTTTCCGATTTCTCAATTTTTTACTTTTTCGACTTCAGTTTTAATTAATTTTTCAGTTTTTTGATGTGTCGATTTATAGATCTTTCGATTTTTCGTCATGTCGGGTTTTCAGTTTTCTATTTTTATTTAAATTTTTTTATTTTTCGATTATAAAATTTTTCGATTTCTGGATCTATCTAAATTTCGATGTTTCGTTTTTTGGATTGTTTAGTTTCTCAATTTTTTGACTGTTCAATTTATCGATTCTTTTATTTCAAATTTCTCTACTTTTAACTTTTCGATTTTCGCCTATTTCGATGTTTTCATTTTCGGATTGTTCAATTTTCAACTTGCCGATTTTTCGATTTTGGCCCATTTTGCATTCGACTTCTCGACGCTTCGATTTTACGATTTCTCGATCTTTTGATGTTTCGATTTCTCGGTTTCTCGATCTTTCGACTTTTCGATATTTGAATCTTTCAATTTTTCGAATTTTTGATGTCTGGATTTCTCTATTTTTCAATCCTTGCAGTTTTTTAAATATTATATTTTTCGATTTTTCAATTTTTCGATTTTACGTTTTTTTGACGTTTCGATTTCTTGACGTTTCGATTTCTTGACGTCTCTGTATTCGATTTTCAAAATTTTTCGACCTTTCGATTTTTAGATTTCTCTATTTTTCAAGTTTTCGATTTCTCAATTTTTCATCATTTCAATTTTTGGAACCCTTTTTTGATTTTTTCGCAATGTTTACAAAATATTAGTGCCTACTTGACTTTTTCAATTGAACACCGGAAACCATACCTATGTTGTAAGTCTTCTAAATCATACGAATGGGGATTTTTTACCGACTTTTGAATTTCTTACCTGAATCGGCGTGGGTTTCTATAACGTCACTATACCTAAATGAAAACTGTATAAATCCTAGAAGGCTGCGATTTTTAGTATTCAGTGAATTATTTTAATTCGGTGCGATCAAATCTAGATTTAAACGAAATATTTTTAATTTTTTTTTTTTTTCAAGTTTTCTATCTTTAATTTTTAGTAAAATTATTGAAAAATAGAACTTCTGGCTATTGTTGTCTCCAATAACGAAAAGTAATTCAGTGAAGTGAAGATTTGCATTTCTTAATTTTATGCAACTTTTTTTTTTTGTAACATTTGCAACCCAAAAAAATGTAATTAATCAACGATTGAAATTTGCAGCACTTTTTAAGTAGATTATTTTTATTGTAAAAAAATACGAATAACCACTATGTTTAATTTACATAAATGGATTGCTAATTTGGTGTTCGTTTCAATAAACCCAAAAAACTTGTGTTTGAAATACATCAGTTTTATTCAAAGAATTTCTAGTAAAGCCTATATTAACTACACATATCGTAAAAGCTCATTCGCAAATGCAAACCGTGATATAAAAAGTTCTGTTTTGGTTGATTAAAAGTGTGAAAAAAGCTGGAATTTTTATTGCGGGACTTATGGCTCAATACTTTTTTTGGTCTCTTGGTAATAAACTCACACAATTGAAAACTTGTTTTAATACAGAAGTCCGTAATACCCAGCTTTAATACAGTTCCAAAGATCACCCGATCACATGTTTTTTATAATTTTCATTTTGGTATTTTTTTTAATGAAGAAAAACATATTGATCAACTCTTTTATCTGATTTATTTGCAACATGAAATCTGAAAAATTCATACGCAAATGTACAGTTTTAATCAGATTTTTTTTGTCCGGCAGAGCCGCATTTTATGTCATTATCAATGATGCAATAAAGCTTCATGACCGATCGAATCGAATTAAAATTTATATTGCTGTTAAACGACCTTTTACGATTTAGTCATGTTTTTAATGAATAAAGTATCTTTATAATGTCGAAATTAGTTTTCATGCATCACGACCGGAACGCAATCCGTTAAACTGCACACACAAATTAAATGTAGCGTGTCGGGTAAAATCGCAAATTTCCATCAGTTTCGGGCTTGCACGTGTAAACGCTCTTCGGATTATTTATTTTTTTTTTTTTTCGATAACACAAATTCGCGGTTTGTATTCATTTTACTTAGTTTGATTGCGCGGAATTCATTTGTTTTTCGTTCAGCGAGCACAAACAATGCATTTTTTTCACCATAATACAACTAACACGCGCCGCAATTGTTTGCCGAACGAAGCTCCATCGCAATCAAACCCTCCATGGTTTTCCGGTATCGCGATTCCGTCCCAAAGTCAATTAAAACTCGTCAATTTACAAAATTGATATGTAAGTTTGTTCGATAATTGTGCAGTCAGCAGTAATACCAATTCCCACGGGGCAAGGAATCACTCCCCTAGATTGTAATGCAAATCGTGTTTGTCGGAGAATCAAACTGGATTCTAATCAGAAATATTACCCCCAGTGTTTAAGGAGAAGGGGATGATTGAAAGATGGAAACGAATTTTTTGTGAGTAATTTTGGTGTTTTTTTGACAGCAGCGACCAAAACATGACATCTTCCACAACGCCGGCCGCCATCACCGAAAGCAAGAAGAAGAAAGAACGGAGGAAAGACAAGGAGAACGCGAACGTGGAAACGAGCGACGAGGAGGCCACAGATATGCCAGGTTGGTAACACTGACTAGTTTTATTGAGTACATGATATGTTACATTGATTAGTAGAGTAAGGGGAAAACGTTTTGGTTTCGAGCCAACTCCGAGTCAAAATTTTCTCGGGTTTAGTTGAGCAATCAGGCGTCGGTGTTGACGGCTTCCACGTCAATCGCGCTGCCGCTGTCGCTGTTCTCCCTCTCGGGCACCATCTCGTTGTTCTTGTTATTGTTGTCGGCCATTTCTTCAGCGTGACACAACTTCCGGTGTTTGTGGACGAAATAGTAACTGGGGAATTTCGAGCCGCAGGTTTTACAAGGGTAGTACTGCACGTTCATATCCAGAAGCTTCACCTCGCGCTTGTTCTCCTTGGGGGCGGCGTTCTTCACGTCCAACGTCACCGGGTGCAGGTGTCTCCGGGCGTGCTTCTGGTAGCAATACTGCGATTTAAACGTATGATTACAATACACACAAGTAAACATTTCGCCCCCATTTTGGTTCTCGTCGCTCATTTGCTCGATATTCTCCGTCATCACCTTATTCATCACCGCGTTCTTGTTCACTTCTTGCATTTCATAGACTTCGTTCTGCTGCTGCTGCACACCGTAGTTTTTGTTGATGACTCTGTGGAATCGCACCGGTCCGTCGCAGCAAGCTATGTCCACGATGACCTTCTCCCCGTCCCCGCCCCGTTTCTTCTTCTTCTCCGCCTTCGTCGCTTTTTCCACCAACCCGCTCTCCGGCTCCTCCTTCGACGTCGACGCCCGAATCGTCTCCTTGTCGTTGTGCACCGCCTTGAAAGGCGTGGCTTCGGACTTGTGCAAGTGCGAGAAAACAGGCGCGAAGATCTGCTGAGTAGGCGGGGCCGCTTTGCGACTAGGGATGGGCTTAATAATAGAGGGGCGGGTCTCGAGCGACGGTTGGCTCTGCAACAGGAACGAGCGACAGATCTCGAGGGCTCGCGGCATGTGCAAGATGTGCGTAGCGAGCAAGATGTTGTAGATGTTGGTGAGGTTGAGGTCGAGGTAGCCGGTGTACATGAACGTGAGGAGGGACGAGAATTCGTCCACGTTGACGTTGGGGACGGCGATGGGGGTGGCGTCTGGAAAAAAAACGACGTTGTTTCGATATAATTGGATTTGTCCAGCAGTCGATAAATGCGTTATGAAATGAAAGTTTTATTAAATCATGTTTTTGGTGTTTGTATTGAAATAAAGTGGACTAATTACTTATGAAGTAATAATGTGACGTGGATCAATTTTTGATGACGGGCTCGTGATTTGGGTTTTTAATTCCGGTTTTAAACGGTTAAATAATTACGGGAATTTTATTAAATTGGATAGTTTACTTGGAAAGATGGTAATTTTGTTAATTGCTGCCATGTTTGTGATCAGGAACATGGAAATTGTATTGGCACGATTAGGTGGGTTGATCGTTGTCGGTGTTCCGAAAATTGGGGGTTTTAGGGCCAGGGCTAAGTATTTTTAGTGAGGTGCGATAGGTGGCGCTGAAGTTTGCAACGATAGCGCCATCTAGTTTAAGTTGTGTACGTCTTAACTTTTCATTGTAGCTTTTTAAGTCAGTTTTTTTAATAATTAGTATTTTAATGTTAATTTAATTTAATTAATTAATGTCTACAACAATATTATTTGCCTGTCATAATTTTTTTGCCAGAAATATACATCTAACAACGAATTCGTTAAAGTAGTTTGTATTTTTTCACTTTAAATTTTGCAAAAATATTTGAATTCAAAATTTTTGAATTTTTTTAAATTCATATTTTGATTTTTTAATTATTGTTACTATTTAAAAAGAATTCTTTCAGTCATATATTTAATTGTTTCTTTTTTGACGAAAATTTTGGAAATTTTTGTGTCACATTTTATTTTGTTGTTCCGGATGTGTTCCTAGTAAAAATTTGATCAAAAATGTTTACGCTTTGTTAATTTCACTAGGTTCGGAAACACCTTTTTTTTTCAAAATTTGTATATGTATATTTTTTTTTAATTCGTCGTAGTGTTTAATTTGCATTTTTTTGCTAGAGGAATATAATTTGTAACATTTCGTTGTTATACAAAATTCTTACAAATTAAAATTGTAAGGAATTAGGTCGTATTTTTTAAATTAATCAAATTAAATCAAGTCGAATTTGTCATCACTGTTGCCATTTATCTAATTTTTTACACAATTTTATACACAAATTTCCGCACATGCCTTAAGAGTTTAAAATTAGCTAACTTAAATTTTGAAAAATTAAATTTACTTTTAAGTTTTCAGAATCAATTAAATTAAATTATATGTAATGTAGACATGAATTTTAAGTTTTCTATCCTTTTTTGAATACAATTGTCAAAATTATTGCAAGAATTTGAATCATATCAAAGAACTGAAAAATCGAAAAATTAAAAATGTAAAAATTGAAAAATCATAAAACTCAAACCTCTGGAAATTGAGAAATCGAAAAATAAAAAAAAATCGAGAACTGAAAAAAAAGCATTTTAAATTTAAATTGTAAAACGTACAATTTTGATTTTTTAAAGAATTTTTTCCTAATTTTACAAAAAACAAAAATTCTAAATTTTTATTAAGACGAAATTTACGCAGGAACGTAATAAGGACTTAAAAAAAGTGAAATATAATTTAAATATAAAGTGGGGCATGCAGTTAATTAAATAAGTTTATTATTATTGTTAAAAAATGGAGAAAAAGTGTTTTTTGTGTGTTGGTTGAATAATTGGTCCGAAGCCTCGTACCTGTCTGGTTGAGCAAAGCCGCCTTAAAGAAGCCGCTGTGCGCCGAGAGTACGGCCCTGTGCGCCGAGAACTGCGTCATCCCGGGCCCCACTTGCAGCGTGACGTCCGGGGCGCCCGCCGAGTGTGCCGGGGCCGTGAGGTTGAGGGGCGCCGGAGGCAGGGCCGGAATTGGGCACGGGCCCAGCGACAGCCATGCCCGATACAGCGAGTACATGGCCCTCAGCCCCTCATCGACGAAAAAGCGAGTAGCCCGATGTTGCCTCAATCAAAGATCACGCAACACTGACAGATATCTTCATCAAATGTCAGTGCTTTATAACCATAATTCAAAATATTACCCTCTCCGTCGGCGGCGGCGGGGTGGGGGCAGGGCCGGCACGTACTCGTACTCCCTTCAACCCCTTTTCCATTCTTTGCGCATCAGCCGGGATCGCATCTGTAATCGCGTATAATTGTTTCGTTTTATTGGGGCGGTGGGGGCTGATTAGGGCGATAAGTCGCGGATTTTTTCGAGGGGCGGCGGCGGCGTATTGGCGGATCGCTTCAGACGTTATTAATTTATTCGTTAAATACACTTAATTATGAGTGGAACGCAGGCGCCGTGATAGGAGTTTTAATTAGAAGAAGCGGTTAATTGAATGATTACAAATTAATTGGAGTGTTGATAAAAATTGCAAGCTCGGTTGCGTCTTCCAAAAAGAGGAAAAAGGCTGGTAATTAACGGGAAACCGCAGGGGTGGGGGTTTTGGTTTTATTTTAGATGCATGGCGGTGGAAAGGGGTGAGTTTGGAATGAAAGCGAGCGATGGTGCGATTTTCGGAAACTAGGAATTTCGTCGGTTATTCAAGGGGTGGATTTTTATTATTTAAAGTTTATTGACGGTTCATTGTTGGAACAGTTGTTCTGGGGGAAGTACGTGCTTAAAATTTAACGAAAGTAGCAATTTTTAACGATAAAAATTTTAACTGGAAAGGTAGCTCGGTTATAATTTAATTTTGTAGTCTATGAATGTGCTAGAAAAAATACTCTGAAAGTCATTGTTCTGTGAAATACGCAAGATTTTTTTTTGTGGTTTTTTCTTAAATTAAAATGTGCTTTCAATTCTAAAATTAATTGAAATAGTGATTAATATGGTTAAAACAAAACACTTTGGTGACTTTTTCGTCAAAATCGATATGTTGGTAATGCATTTTTTACATATTTTACTTTATTTCGCAAGTGAAAACTCAAAGATCGTATTAACGTAGACATTTTATTATGTAAATTTCTCTAAGAACAAAGTTATAAGACCCTAGAGAAAGGGAAAAATATAACTTATTTTTAAAATCACGGGAAATCTAAATTTAACCAAATCCTAACTGATTTCATATCAAATATCTTTGAAATTGAAGATTGAGAAAAATTTTGAAAAATGAAATTTCGTGTACTGGATAATTCTCAGTTTTACGATTTGCTTAATTTAAAATTCTAAAATAAAAAGTCCGTCATATGACAGTCAAGGCAGTTTAGCCCAATGCACAATTATTGATGCTGGAATGTGGTCAGAATTAGTTCGCAGAAGTTTTATATCGCTACTTTTACACGTCAAGTTTTTAGATAATAAATTTTGTTAATTGATAGTTGCCAATATTTTTTAAAGTATTATTAGCTCATTTTAAATTCGAAATAAAATTTGCGGTTACATTGGGAAAACATTGTAAAAAATATAGTTAGTAAATAAATATAATAATTAAAAAAATTTTTTTTTTTTTGAAACTCAATCTACAACCTCCACTCTATTCCTACCCCGCTACAAATAGTAAAATTGCATGTCCATCGATTACGAGTTGCGTTTTCTTAATCGCCACGCTCTCTTCCATCAATAATTCACCACAAAATACCATTATTGGCCCTCGATACCGATCAACAATTTCATTATTGCTTCTATTACGTTATTACCGCATATTAATTTCGGTATTTTTCGATTAAAACCAATTAGAACGATGGCCGGCATGTGTACACGCACACATAAACACACAAAAACGAAAAATGTTTCGGGTTATTAACGTAAAATGTATACAATTTCATTTTGAATTATTTATTGAGGAGAGGAACGATCAATTTTCGAAACGGGACATTGTTTAATTAATCACGTTCGGAATTCGACAATTTCGGCGGTCGGATTGTGTGAAAGGGGCCGTCCCCGGCCGCCGGGACGGGGGGCGGCTTTCTATTAATGAAATAAAGTAGTCCGCAAACAGCGCCAGTTCATTTGGAAAAAGTAGCTGTAGGCATTTCATCTCGAAAGATAAACTCGCGATGTGCATATATACAAGAGATGGCTGGAGTTTTGTTGGGGAGGTAGATTAATATTGGAGCGCAAATAAGACGTCGTTAAAAATTTTATTAATATTTAAACGGTTTTGGTGCCGATGGAGGATCGCAAAATCGGTTCGAGTCGATTTCGGAAAAAATACGAAGACGGGAGGAGTTTGAACACTTGGACGGGGTGTTTGCGGACGTTTTGCCGCACGACCACTCGAGGTGGGTCGACAAACGAAAAAAAAGTACCGCATTTAACTAGATTAATTTAACTTTAAACTAATTTTGTAATGGAAACTGTACTAGAAATTGCAAAGTTAATAAAAAAAATTGTCATTCAACTGGAGACCAAACCTGAGTATTGTGTAATTAAATACGAAGTGTAAAACAGTCACATTTATCTCTATTGAACTAGGAACTTTAAAGTAAAATTTAATAATGCTATAGAGAATCGTAGAAATAATGTTTCTATCATAATTTAAAAAGTGATTTTTAGCACTATAATTGTAAAGAAAATACAGTATGTCTCATAATTTTGGCACTTGTGGAAGAAAATGCATTAAAAAAATATATATTAATATTATTAACGAAAATCCACAAACTCGACGTTTTTGTATTTTTTATGTGCTTGCCACTCTTGTGTATAAAAGTTCTATAACATGTTTAACGTTTTTTATTCGTAATTAAAATTATTTAATTATTTATACTTATTGATTATGCTGCCTTTATAATAAGCGCGTAACATGAGAAAATTGTAGAAATAATGTTTATAATTATAAAAAAATATACAGTGTGTCTCATAATTTGTGGCATATGGGAAGAAAGATGGCCAATTTTAAGAAAGTATATATTTTCACAAATAATATTAACGACAATCTTCAACTCGACATTTTTGTATTTTTTTATATGCTTGTCGCCCTTGTGAATAACAATTCTATAACATTTTTAACATTTTTTAATCGTCATTGAAGTTATTAATTACTTATAATTACGAAAATATTTATCTCTTATTTTTTTTTCGACTGGATTTCGATCCAACATAAATACTGTCGAAACCGCAGCCAAAATTGAATATCACCTCATAATATTACCTGAACTTGTTTTTTGATTATGTTTTTGGTACGAGATAAATCTTGTATAAATGAATTTGGAGCTAATTTTAAGTCGGATTGTGATGCAGTGCCTAAATTAATTCCCAAATTAGGAAAAAAGACACATTTTAATTTTATTTTGTACATTTTATACTTGTACCTTGTAGCAATTCTGTCTGTGTCCTTAGTGATCTCGAACAAATGGTTAACTCGGCTAGCGCCTCGTCAAAAAAAATTTCATTCTCTTTTGGTGAAACATCATTTCCAAGATCAATTAGACAAATAAATATTCCGAATTATATCACTTTTAAATATTTTTTCAAGGCCTTGTTTTTATTGTTATAAAATCAAACCTGAATATTGTATAATTAAATACTAAGCGTAAAACAAAGCAGTTCATATTTATTTCGGTTCAACTAGGAACTTTGAAGTAAAATTTGATTATGCTGCTTTTATAATAATTATGTAACATGAGAAAATCCTAGAAATTAATAATGTTTTCATTATAATTTAAGAATTGATTTTTAACGCTATAATTGTAAAAAAATATACAGTGTGTCTCATAATTTATGGCATATGGGAAGAAAGATGACCACTTTTAAGAAAGCATATATTTTTACAAATAATATTAACGAAAATCTACAACTCGACATTTTTGTATTTTTTTATGTGCTTGTCACCCTTGTGAATAACAATTCTATAACATTTTTAACATTTTTTAATCGTCATTCAAGTTAATTAAATACTTATAATTACGAAAATATTTATCTCTTATTTTATTTCGACTGGATTTCGATCCAACATAAATACTGTCGAAACCGCAGCCAATATTGAATATCAACTCATAATATTACCTGAACTTGTTTTTTGATAATGCTTCAGGTACGAGATAAATCCTGTATAAATAAATTTGGAGTTAATTTTAAGTCCGATTGTGATGCATTGCCTAAATTAATTCCTAAATTAGGAAAAAAAGACACATTTTAATTTTATTTTGTAAATTTTATACTTGTACCTTATAACAATTCTGTCTGCGTCCTTAGTGATCTCGAAAAATTGGTTAACTCGGTTAGCGTCTCGTCAAAAAAAAATTCATTCTCTTTTGGTGAAACATCATTTTCAAGATTAATTAGACCAATAAATATTCCGAATTTTATCACTTTTAAATATTTTTTCAAGGCCTTGTGTTTATTGCTAGAAAATCAAACCTGAATATTGTATAATTAAATACTAAGCGTAAAACAAAACAGTTCATATTTATTTCGGTTCATCTAGAAACTTCGAAGTAAAATTTGATTATGCTGCTTTTATAATAAACATGTAACATGAGAAAATCGTAGAAATTAATAATGTTTTCATTATAATTTAAGAATTGATTTTTAACGCTATAATTGTAAAAAAATATACAGTGTGTCTCATAATTTGTGTCACATGGGAAGAAAGATGGCCACTTTTAAGAAAGTATATATTTTCACAAATAATATTAACGAAAATCTTCAACTCGACATTTTTGTGTTTTTTATATGCTTGTCACCCTTGTGAATAACAATTCTATAACATTTTTAACATTTTTTAATCGTCATTGAAGTTAATTAATTAGTTATAATTACGAAAATATTTATCTCTTTTTTTTTTCGACTGGATTTCGATCTAACATAAATACTGTCGAAACCTCAAGCCATAATTGAATATCACCTCATAATATCGCCTGAACTTGTTTTTTGATTATGCTGTAGGTACGAGATAAATCCTGTATAAATAAATTTGGAGTTAATTTAAGTCCGATTGTGATGCAGTGCCTAAATTTATTCCTAAATTAGGAAAAAAAGACACATTTTAATTTTATTTTGTAAATTTTATACTTGTACCTTAT